TCATGTGATTGGGTGGGTGTGGCCAACTTGATGTCACTCACATTGAGGGGCACCTCACCGGCCTCTATTCACCTCTCTCCTTCCAGCCACGCCTCACCTGCCTGGCCGGGCTCCTTAGGAAGCAGTTGTTAAGAGCTAAGCAGTCACCATGAGAAAGAGTTGGCAAAACAGCTGGTTCCATTCAAATTGGATCTGACTGAGAAGGAGGCTCAGCAGAAGCACCTCACTGAGGACTACAAGCATAGGCTTTCCAAGCAGAGGGAAGACCTGTGGGAGTGCAAGGCCAGGTATCGGGGCCTGGAGGCTCAGCGGGATGAGATGGTCAGCCAGTTCCAGGCCCTGATGCAGTCCCACTGGAACAAGGCCCTCCGGCTCTTTGCCATCAACAACACTTCTCTCCAGCCTTCACCCAAAGCACCTCACCAGGAGGCCAAAGCAGACCCCAAGTCGGAATTTCTGCCCCCTCCGACCTGCACAAAAAGACCACTTTTTCCATTTTCCAGCGTGAACATGCACAGCATGTAGGGGAAGACTTTCTGCAGCAACACAAGCATTCATTGCACATATCCGGCCTGGGGGCCGTAGTTTGAGGACCCCTGATTTAGTGCAATATAAAAAACGCAAATAATTTTTCTGGGAACCACCAAAATTTTCTCACGGACCACCAGTGGTCCATGAACCCCCAGTTGGTGGCTGCTGGTCCAGAGGAGACCCAAAATGAGAAAAAAGACCTATGAAAGGGCCGTTGGTCCTTTTCAGCATTTGCTACCTCCATTCGTGAGGGAATTTACCATCTTATATTTGAAGGCGCCTTCGAAGGCCAGGCCCCGGTGGCAGGAACCTCGGTTGTCCAGCACCACGACCACGTAGCCCAGGGAAGCCAGGGTGTTCAGTCGGAAATATTTGACCCCTTTAAAGCGGTTGTTTACAAGCTGCACCTGGAAGGAGGCATCAAAGCATCATCATTCTTGTTGATATTGTTCTTATTCATCAAGGAACAATAAAAGACACAAATAATCACATCTTGGGCTGATATTCTTTGGACATTCAGATTCCAGCCAAGAACCTAGGAAATATTCAAATATTTGTATAAATCACAACATGCTGAGTAAATCCACAATTAATGCCCAAACAGAAGGCTTTTTCTTCCTGAAATGGATAGTAGCCCATTTCACAAAGAAGAGGGTGTCAAGCTATTCTCCAAAGAACCTGAAGGCAGGAGAAGAAGCAATGGATGGAAACTAATCAAGGAGTGGAACAACTTGCCTCCAGAAGTTGTGAATGCTTCAACACTGGACGTTTTCAAGAAGAGATTGGAGAACCATTTGTCTGAAGTGGTGTAGGATTTCCTGCTTAAGCAGGGGGTTGGACTAGAAGATCTCCAAGATCCCTTCCAGCTGTGCTATGCTATGCTATGCTATGCTATGCTATGCTATGCTATGCTATGCTATGCTATGCTATGCTATGCTATCTTCTGTTCTGTTCTGTTCTGTT